AGTGGAAGAAAGTTTGACAAAGACAAGGTGAGTTTGAGATTGAAGCCATGCCCCAAAGGCAGGACCTACTTTACAGTTCCCAATGTTAATTTTGTGCAGCTTGAAAGGAGGAACCCACTCATCAGACACATTGAAAATGAGAGGAATAGGTAGAGTTGGGTTTGGGATGACTTTGCCTAATGAAAAGTATTTCAATCCTGTGAGATTTGTGAAATGGGCTTCTGTTAAAAATCCTTCCCATGAGTTAAAAGATAGATCTAGGTGAACAAGCTCGGAGAGTTGCCCCAAACTTTTAGGAATGGACCCACTCATATCATTATTGTAGAGGTTAAGATACTTCAAGTTGTGTAGCATCCCTACTGAGGCAGGCAATTGGCTTTTCAGCTTATTAGAAGACAAATCTAATGACTCTAATTCACTATTGGGACAACTTGATAAACCACCCAAAAGCTCTTGAATCCTCCCTTCAAATTGGTTATTTGCAAGATTCAATGTCTTTAGATTGCAAAAGTTCCCAAAAATTTTGGGAATTTGACCTGAAAGATCATTAAAAGACAAATCAAGAGCTTCTAGTGATTTGAGGCTTTGAAATTCACTGGGAACTGGACCACCCAAAAAATTACCACTTAGATCAAGATTTCTGAGGCTAGTCAGATAAAAAAACCATTCAGGAAGTGGAAACTTCAAATCATTATATGACATGTCAAGGATCAAAAGTGATGTGAAGTTAACATTTCCTAGTGAGATTGGAAGGCTTTTAATTTGACATGCGGGTAGATGCAACTCTAGTAGGGAAGGAAACTTGTTAAAAGCAATCACCAAACTTACCCCAGTGTTGCTGAGGTCCACTCCTTCAAGACTGAGGTATTTTAGGGAAGAGAGATTGGAAAGCCATTTCAAGTTGTGGGAAGGTAATTCAAGTAAAGAGTAGTCAGACTCTTCACTTAGGTCAAGATAGTTCAAGTTTGATAGGTTACCAAGATGAGCTGGAATCTCTCCTCCAAATGAAGCACGTGAGATATTGAGATACCTCAAACTTTTGAGCTTGCCAAAGAATGTGGGAATGGGAATCCCTTGAAAATCATTCCTGCTTAGATCTAGGTAGCTCAAATGTTTCAAGCTAAGCAAAGAAGGATTTATCTTACCACCCAAAGAAGAGTTCTCCATCTCATCCCACTCTCCATCGAAAACAGAAAGTGTGTATGTGTACGTATTTTGGAGATCAATCTTTTCAACATGACCTGTGATTTTTTTGCATGAAATGCCTTTCCATTGACAGCAAGCTTGACCAACCCAAGAAGAAAGCCTCCCAGAAGGATCAGTGAGATCTTTTTTGAAGGCGAGGAGAGCATGTCTCTCCTCGTCGATGCATGGTTTCGAGCTTGGAAGTGCATCACCAAAATGGAGTTTACTATTGTGTGGATATGAGGAGGCCAAAAAGAAGATGAGGAAATAATGAGCAATGCTGAGGTGATAATGAGCCATTATGGTGCAAAGTTTTCTTTGCTTTTGTGGAGTTGGCTTCTGAGCAGAATAATTGAATTTATAGGAGGTAAAGGAGAGTGGAAAGAACTATTGAAATCATGGCGTCCAGATAAGATTTCATATCTTCAACCATGTGTACTAGATTGACTAATACGCATAAATAAGACTAAAAACCCTTATTAACTATTATACCGTTGACCAGGACTCAAGTCAGTCATAGCTAATTGTAAATGGAAAGACTGTTGGAGTGGCCGACACTCTCTTCAAATTAAACTTTTCAACAATTTAATTAATGCAGAATTTGACGTTTCAAATTAAATATTATTACTAAAAGATATTTATGTATTTTTCTTTTTTTTTTTTTTTTTTTTTTTTTTTTTTTTTTTTTTTTTTATTAAAAAAATTATAATAAATTTAGTTTAGCCACACAAAATTTTCACTTTTGGAAAAAAGCCAAAACTTTTCCGAAAAAGACAAAAAAAACCCCTCAATTTTCAAACCAAATATATGCAAATATAAAGGATTCCTTAGGAAATTCAAAAATAATAAGGGCATTTTTGTCCATTTTGACTTCTTTTAAAAATATTTCTCTCCTTTGGCCTTTTCCAAAATGTCCCTTATTTTTTTTAATTGGTTTAATGTGCAATCTGAATTATTATTATTTATTTTTAAAAAGGAGAAATACAAAAGAAGAGTTCAAATAAAATAATATAACCAAAAGTCCCCCACGTGAAGGAATATGTATTTGTTTATCTTCGTACGTATGTATTCATCTTGTTTTTATTTAACAAAATATTTGTTCAATATGAATATAAAAAACACAAAAGAGGAATTAATTAAATTAAATATTAAATTGGTATCAAAAGTCCCACGTAATAAAATTGTTGAAGCTACCCGAGACTTTTTTTCTTACTAGCTTTCTGATTTCAATATGGTTTTGCGGTTGCACGGCGTATTTGTATTGTAGGTTTGAGTAAGCGTGCTTTTGTTTATTGAATCAAGGATTTTAATCATTTTGTGGATTGTGCATGATTTTCTCCAAATCAATTCAACTTGCTATGTTTGGTTACTAGAGAAGATTTATCCATATTTGACATCATAGTGGCTTTGTACTTGTTTATGTTCCTCTTATCAATAAAATAGTATCACTCTTTAATATATATATTAGTAATCAATATAAAATGATATTATGAAGTGGGCCAAAACGAGTAGTTAGGGTTGTATTAACTTATTATCTGATTCGCGCTTCTATTCAAATTATTTTTTAAAATTTTCTGAAGGACTCCACCACTGCGTTTCACCCAGAACAGAGTTGGGTATATACGAGTTATCTTCCTTTGGGCTGTGATGCTTCTATCATCTTCTGTCTCTCATCGAAAGCGTGTACACTGATAATAACAGTCTTCTTGCACCATATCTCTTAAACTGAAATACTATTTAGGTGAGCTGCTGCCCAAGAAGTGAAGTTTTCCGAACAACTCAACTTAAAAAATCTTAAATACATAAAAGAAATAAAAACTTCCGGTAGAAAAATTGATAAAGAAACCACATTCTCTCTTTTAGAGACGAGACGCCTCCATAACATTGCTCCTGGAATATGTTCGACTTTACTAGTATTTACTGCTTACGATAATTGATATATAATAGAAATACTAATGCAAGTAACACATAACAAAAAGCAAAGAACAGAACAAAACAAACAAACAAAAACAAAGAAGGAAACACATCATATATATAGTATTAAACATCACAAAATTTCCTCTGTAAACGAGCCACTTTCAATGCGATTGCTAGTGTTACCTTGTCTTTGACATCATCAATTAACCGAAAATAGGCATACCTACATGATTTCTTTACCATTAATGTGCCGCAAACACCCCAAAAGCCTATAACAAAGCCAAATATACCATGCTAACATAGAACCACAACTTATCATTTTCATATCCATCGTTACTATATTTTGCATCTGTAGCAGTAAAAGTCCCAGTCTTCATCCATCTCCTCAACCCATTTTGCAAGTTCGCAAGTCCAATCAGGTAAGTGGATCGTTAGTGTAGTTTCTTGGTATATATTATCTTCCTGTATCATTGCCATTACTTTATCTTCAAGAATTTACAGGATGGTAGGAGGGTGTAAAATCAATCTTGAAATCATTGCTCCAGATTCCAAGTCCCCATCCCATTTTACAAGTTTTCCAAGTCCTCTATGCACAAAGGTAGTCGAGTTTTGCAGGTGTAGCATTACAGTATACTTTTACAAACTGCTCTTTGAAATACAGAGACTAGAAACATGTCATTTTTTATATGAAAATATCGAATATATTAGTTACATTACCAACGTTGGGAAAAAAACCGAATACATCAAATGCTGCATCATGCTTAATCATATGAACTGCAACAGTAATTTTTCTTTTTCTTTTTCCAATCAATATTTTCTTCGCAAACAAACCAACTTCAGTTGAATTGCCAATGCAACCTTATTTTTAATGTCATCAAAGAATCGAAACAGGCATACCTCCATGACTCCTTTACAAGTAATGTGCCACAAACACCCCAAAAGCCTATGATAAAGCCCAACACCATGCTGACGTAGAATCACAGCTTATCATTTCCATCTGAATTAGTGCCTTTTGCATTGTAGCAATAAAGTTTCATCTCCGGATCCACGGCACTTAGTTGAAAGAGGTTCTCCACACAGTAACCGGTTGCCGTAATAAATGGACAAAAGGAATTCTACCAGACAAGTTCAAGTGGGACAAGGAGGTTAAAGAAAAAACACTTTGAGGAATTTTGCAAAAAAGGCGATTGGGTGAAAGATCTTGAGTTTCCAGCCATTGAAAGTTCTTTGAAGGAATGTTTCCACTTATTTGACAAGTTCAGGATACTCAATGCAATGAGGCTTGTTATATCTTCTGGGATTTCACTTTCCGAATTATTTGATGAAAGATCAATGCTCTTCACCCAGAATAGGGTCTTGTTATATGCAAGTTCTCTTCCTTTTGAGGTCAATGTGGTTTGCCAAATAGCTTTCATAGTAACTCACATTCGAAATACCATAAACCAAAGAAGTCATATTTTTCAAACACTAGGGAATGGTCCCTGAAAAGTTGTTGTGATTAAGGTCTAGGATGTCAAGCAAGGGAAGATTGCACAACTGATGAGGACATGCCAACTTAGAAAGTTGGATTACAGTTGTAGGAAAAACTATTGATGTTGGCTCACCTAATGGATGCAAAAGGAACGAAGGAAAGGGTCAATCAAAGGGCCGCAGACCAAGTGACTGGGCTCCAGCGCTCGAGCAATCACCTTCTAGTTGGATAGGAAAAACTATTGATGTTGGCTCACCTAATGGATGCAGAAGGAACGAAGGAAAATGTCAATCTAAGGGTTGTAGACCAAGTTACTGGCCTCTTGTAACATCCCACATCGACCAACGGAGAGGGGGTGATGTGCCTTATATGTACATGCCCGCCTCCATCTAGCACGAGGCCTTTTGGGAGCTCACTGGCTTCGGAGTCATGAGAACTCCGAAATTAAGCGAGTTGAAGCTAAAGCAATCCCAAGATGGGTGACCCACTGGGAAATTGCTCGTGAGCTTCCAGAAACAAAACCGTGAGGGCAGAGATGGGGGCCCAAAGCGGACAATACCATGCTACGGCGGAGCCGATCCCGGGATGTGACACCTCTAGCACTTGAGCAGTCACATGAGGTGCTCGAGAGGCAGAGAGGTGGAATTTGCACAAACCCAGGCGCTCGAGCGGACTTGAGGCGCGCTTGAGCTATAGTCGTGTGACCTGCGCTAATCCTTAGCATTTTAGGATGGTTTTTTCTTAGGTTTTTGGGAGTTTTAGGTTTCCCATTCCTTGTATGATTGTACGAAAGTCTATAAACTATAAACATGCAATTTAATGTTAGAGTTTCATAAGAGAGAGAACAAGGACATCAAATTAGGTTTGAGCAAAGGTGAGAGAAAGAGAGTTAGGGTTTGTGAGAGATAAGGGTGTTCTTTATTCTTGCATACTAGTGAATTTCTTGGGTGGATTACCAAGAGAACGTAGACACATTACCAAACCTCTATAAATTCTTATGTTCTCTCAGTGTTTGCTTTATTTCGGGTATGTGATTACATTGCAAATAACATGATAGTGATAAATAAAACAAATATAGTGGAATCACCATTCCCCAATGTAGCCATATTATTCAAACACTTGGATTCTCATAAAGGTGCAACTTTTTCGCTTTGAGGACAAAAACAATGATATCAAATCAGGGTTGATGCGAAAAGTAAATCAAGATAATGGTAGAAGAATTAGTGGACAACAATGGGGGTGGACCCTCAAAGGGTTTAGGGAAACATTGGTCTCCATTCCCTCATAGATGGGCTGGGCGGCCCCCATCAACCTATGGGCTGGCTAGCCAAATGGTGACCTTTAGTCTTGGAGATTGATCTATTGATGCATGATGGTTTTGGCTAGGGATGGGCATTAAGAACCGAAGAAACCATAAATTGATTGATTGATATGAAAAACAAAAGAAGGGGTGGGAGGGCAGGCAAAAAAAAAAAAAAAAAAAAAAAAAAAAAAAAAAAAAAAAAAAACAAAAAAGTCAAATAATGGTTCAAAAAATTTAACAAAAAAAAAAAAAAATTGCTTGGTCAAGGTGGTTCAGTTCCGATTTGAATCCTTAAAAAAAATCAAAATCGGACAGAACCAAATCGTCTGTGTAATTTTTAATTACACAATAAGAGGATTATGATGACAGAAATGTAATTAAGCAAGTAAATTAAGAATAAGTAAATAATATAATATGTGAAAACAAAGATGATAAAGCACTAGGACACCAATTTCACCTAGCTAATCCCACCCAAATCCTCCTAGCTTGTTAATCCTAATTACCTAACATGCTAATAATTGTTTTTCCTTACTTCACCAATACTCTCTTCCGAGTTATATTAGTTGTGTTCCTTGCCGTCAACCCACTCTATTCCTAGTTATGGATTTAGATGGCTAATCACCTATTAAGATTTGTGAAAAACACTAATGATTACATAAACCATAATCTAATATTCCGAGTCAACTATGTAATTTATGGTACTTGTTACAAGAAGCTATTTATTAGGCATCTCCTTTCAGTCTCAACCCAATTCTTCCAATTATGCAATTAGTGGCCAATTAATTGAAAGTATCAAGAACGGTAACAAGCACTCAACTTGTATAGATAAATGAAATTAACAATATCAAAGAATTTGAGTATTCGTAGCTAGGCTACATCGTAGCCCTAGTAAAAGAAATTAGTTCATGAAGGACGTATTGAGAAACATAATGGTTGATGAAGACATGGAAGGCACCGAATTCTCCAAGTAGAACGCCAAGTATTTATTCAATGAGGATGCTACTAGCGACATGTTTCTCCATGATTTAATGAGTGTGTAGGAATTTGATGGCGTAGCATTCTCCCCCCAATAACCAAAACCCCTTATTTATAATACTCCTAGAAATCTTACATATCTAAAGTATAATTACAATTATTATAAAAATAAGATTCCTAATAATCTAGGGTCTTCTTGATTTCTCCTTGTTGAGTTGAACCATCTTGAGCTAAGAAATTTGACAACACTCCTTGCGACAAAAGGAATGACTTGGCTTCTTTCCAATTAATCTTCAATCTTCATCTTCTGGCCCTTTTTAGCTCAATTCCTCCTATTTCCACAACCTTCACAAATCTCACAAAACAAATTAAAACAACCAATTTAATCCAAGGAAATCAACAAATAAATAAGTAGAGGAGACATAAAATATATGTAAAATATGGACTTATCAGCAATTGAGTAGAATCATTAAATAATTGACATCCAGATTCCAAATATATATTGAACACATTTTACAAGTTCGCTAGATTGACAAGTAGGCATAAACAAAACGAACAAAACCGTGTGAGGGCAAATGGCAATTGTTAATAATTAATCGTTATTTTGGTTGAGCACTAGGAAAATAAGGGAGTTCAAGTACATTGCAAATTACATGATATAGTGATGGATAGAACAAATACATTGTTTATGAACAGATGGCTCTAATCATCTGTTTGAATATCCACTGCACAATAATTAGGTTCTTATTCAAATATCGTCATATTACTAAAATGATCAAGTCGAAGGATACCAAATGATCAAGTCACCTTTGAGAACTGTGGGTGTTCTAACAACAGCAAATCAAACTAGAACTTATTTATTTCTAGATGAATTTAAATATACATTACAAACTAAGGGAGAAAAACATCACAGGGTGAAGCATTTTAATTTAAAGAGCTACTTCTACTCTTCTTTTCTAATCTAAATTTCCTATCGAGACGAGTCACTTTCACCATAAAGTTTTCCTTGATGTCATCAAACCATCGAAAATAAGCATACCTCCATGATTTCTTCACAATTAATGTGCCACAAACACCCCAAAAGCCTACGATAAAACCAAGCGCCATGCTCATATAGAACCACAACTTGTAATTTCCATCTCCATTGTCATTGTCTGTTGGATCCTTGGGAGTAGAAGTGTTATCTTTGGAGCACTTGGTTGAAAGAGGAAATCCACAAAGGAATGGGTTGCCCTCAAAAATGGATGAATCAGGGAGTGCTTGGAGTTGGTTTCCCAAAGGAATTTCACCACTCAAGTTGTTATAAGACAAGTTCAAGTTAGACAAGAAGGTCAAGGATGAAAGACTTTGAGGAATCTGTCCTGAAAGGTGGTTGAGTGAGAGATCAAGAGTATCGAGCTGCGACAAGTTTCCGATCTTTGATGGGATGTTTCCACTGAACTGATTCATCGACAAGTTCAAGTTGCGCAATAGAACGAGACTGCATATTTCTTGAGGGATTTCACCTTCAAACCTATTTGATGAAAGATCAATGCTTTTTACATACGCTAGAGAAGTGTTCAATTGGAGTTCTCTTCCTCTCATCACTGTTGTTTGTTGGTCATACTCTAGATATATATTATAAAAACTGTCATTAAAGATTCTGAGACCAGTGAGATTGTTCAAACACTGGGGGATTGTCCCGGAAAAGCTGTTGTGAGCAAGGTCTAGGATGTGAAGGTAGGCAAGATTGCACAACTGTTGTGGGATATGTCCACTTAAAAAATTGGATCTCAGCCTTAGGGTTGACACCGATAAAGCAGTTGATCCTATCCATGGAGGTATTTCACCAGTGAATCTATTATCCCCAAGATCAATGTTCCTCAAAGAAGTGCAGGTTTGCAAGGAAAATGGAATTTCGCCCTCAAAATTGTTGTTGTTCATCTTCAACATGAAAAGAGTACCCGAGGCACCCATTGAACTGGGAAGATTGCCTGAGAGATTGTTGTATGCAACATCTACAATCAGTATGTTAAGCAAAAGGCTCCATGCTTGTGGAAATTCTCCTGATAGCTTGTTGTTTCTCAGAGAAAGGATTAACAAGTGTTTCATGTTGCAAATGGAAGTTGGAATGGTGCCATTCAAATGATTTTCAGCAAGGTAAAATGATTCCAATTTTGGAAACTTTTGGTCCAAATTCAATGGAATTGGGCCAGAAAATGAATTGGTTTCAAGCTTAAACCGAACCACATTATCACCAGACCAAGGTGGAATTGGCCCATCAAATTGGTTATGACTCAAATCCAAAAGCACGGCATTTGGGAATTTCAATTGCAATGGAAGCTTTCCATGGATTTGGTTGTAAGACAAATCCAAATACTCAACTTGGGAAGATATTTTCATGAACCAATCCTCTGGTATAGAATCTGAGATTCCAGTGGCACGAAGTTTGACAAAGACAAGGTCAGTTTGAGATTGAAGCCATGACCCAAAGGCAGGACCTACTTTACAGTTCCCAATGTTGATTGTGTGAAGCATGAAAGGAGGAACCCAATTGTAAGACACCTTAAAACTGAGGGGAATAGACTTATTTGGGTATGGATCCACTCTACCCAATGCAATGTATTCCAATCTTGTGAGATTTATTAAATGGGTTTCAGTTAAAAACCCTTCCCATGGGTTAAAAGATAGATCTAGGTGAACTAGCTCAGAGAGTTGCCCCAAACTTTCAGGAATAGACCCACTCATATCACTAAGGTAGAGTTTAAGAAACTTCAAATTGTGTAGCATCCCTATAGAGGCAGGCAATTGGCTTTTCAGCTTATTAGAAGACAAATCTAGTGACTCTAACTCACGATTGGGACAAGTTGATAAACCCCCCAAAAGCTCTTGAATCCCCCCTTCAAATTGGTTATTTGCAAGATTCAACGTCTTTAGATTGCAAAAGTTCCCGAAGAATTTGGGAATTTGACCTGCAAGATCATTAAAAGATAAATCAAGAGCTTCTAGTGATTGGAGGCTTTGAAATTCACTGGGAACTGGACCAGCCAAAAGATTACCACTTAGATCAAGTTTTCTGAGGCTAGACAGATTAAAGAACCACTCAGGAAATGGAAACTTCAAATCATTATATGACATGTCAAGGATCAAAAGTGATGTGAAGCTAACATTTCCTAGTGTGGTTGAAAGGCTTTTAATTTGGCATGCTGGTAAGTGCAACTCTAGTAGGGATGGAAACTTGTTTAAAACATTTACCAAACTTACCCCAATGTTGCTGAGGTCCACTCCTTCAAGATTGAGGTATTTTAGGGAAGAGAGATTGGAAAGCCTATTCAAGCTGTTGGAAGGTAGTTCAAGTGAAGAGTAGTAAGACTCTTCACTTAGGTCAAGATAGTTCAAGTCTGATAGGTTGCCAAGATGAGCTGGAATCTCTCCTCCAAATGAAGCATATGAGAGATTGAGATACCTCAAACTTTTGAGATGACCAAAGAATGTGGGAATGGGAATCCCTTCAAAATCATTCCTGCTTAGATCTAGGTGGCTCAAAAGTTTCAAGCTAAGTAAAGAAGGATTTATCTCACCACCTAAAGAAGACTTCTCCATCTCTTCCCACTCTCCATCGAAAACAGACAGTGTGTATGTGTATGTATTTTGGAGATCAATCTTTTCAACGTGACTGGTGATGTTGTTGCATGAAATTCCTTTCCATTGACAGCAAGCTTGACCAACCCAAGAAGAAAGCCTCCCAGAAGGATCAGTGAGATTTTGTTTGAAGGCGAGGAGGGCCCGTCTCTCCTCGTCCATGCATGGTTTCACACTTGGAAGTGCGTCACCAAAAGAGAGTTTACTGGTGCTTTGATATGAGGAGGCGAAAAGGAATATGAGGAAATAGAGAGCAATGTTGAGGTGATAAGTAGGGCTGAATAAGTAATTTGCAAAGCTAGGCATTATGTCGCAAAGTTTTCTTTGCTTTGGTGGAGTTTGCTACTGAGCACAATATGATTGAACATATATATATAGGAGGCAAAGGAGGGTGCGAAAGAGTTAATCAAATAATGCCGTCCAGATAAGATTCCAAATCTTCAACCCATTTTACACGTTATTCATTTGCATGTGTAGCCCTAGCTAGGCATGCGTACTAGATTGACTAAAATGCATAAATAATACTAAAAACCCTTGTAATCTTTTGGCACCGAAGTCTTTGATTGGTACGAGAGATTTGGAAAAAACTTTAGTAGAGGCATTGAAGAGTCACCATCGTACTCTATTGGCTGATGACTAAGCTCACCATCGTACGTGATTTAACTATTATACCATTGACCAAGACTCGAGTCTTGTATGGTTGGCAGTCTCTTGCTAAAAATTCGTAAGTCCATGTACCACTTAATGACATAATGATTTTTAAAAGAACGAATGTACCAATCAAAGACTTTGGTGCCAAAAGATTACAAGGGTTTTTAGTCTTAGTCAATCTAGTACGCATCTCTCTCTCTGGAAAAACACTCCCAGAGTTAATCTAGTCACTGTTCTTCCTCTCCTCTCCTCTCCCCTCTTGTCTTCCTCCATTCTCCTCTTCCCCCATTTTCAAAGACAGAAAGCTTCCCATATTTGTCTTCGTTTTATTATGATTTTCCTCCAATCATTACAGGTGGTTGCATCACAACGTCAAATCTCCACCACCATCCTTTTCGTGGTTTCTTTCGGTTTGGAATAAGTCGCAGAGATTCTTTTTGAGTTCTCTATGTAGTTTTCACCTCTACTTTTGTGAAACCTTTTCACATCTCCTTTGTAAGAGCTTTTCATTTCTCATATGTGAGAGTTTTATTTGTATTGTTATGACTTTGTTTTTTCAAGCTTTATAATTTTTGATTATTATGAATCTGCAATCTTAATTGGGATGTCTATGCTAGAGTTTCTTCAATCATGCGTAATCATTCGTGGAGGTGTACCAAATTGTCTTAATTTTGATATTAGATCGCTCCATTATTGTAATGGCTCTTTGTGACTAGTTTGTATTAGCCATTTGTGGCTAATGACTTTTTTGGAATTATGAACGCAATCACATAATTTCTCAACAACAACAAAAATGAATGTACATATGGGAGATAGTTTAAACTACTCTTAATTTTGATTTAAAAAAAGAGATATTCAAACTTGAGTGTAAAATGACGGACTTACTACTCTTACGGTCTGTAATGGCAAAGTGATTTTGAAACAATGGGTGTACATATGAGAAGAGGGGATCTGCTAATTGTTTAAAGGTGCAAGAAGGGAATTAATTGATAAACTTCCAATTTGATCTCAGTTCTTATGGTCCAAAGGCATTGTTCCAATATCAAATTTTTATCAAATTGCCGACGGTACCCTTCGTGTGATTTCCCATACTCCTTTCCGAATATCACCAGAGATATCTATCTTAGTGATGATATCTGTTTTCTATCACTTTGTATTCTTGTGGGAAAGTTCATGAAAAGATAGAAAAGAATAAAAGAGTTAAGTGGCATCGCAATTTCTTGATCTCTACTTAATAGTTTGCAAGTATATATGAGCATTACATAATAGTGATTGATTTTATAAATGCATTATATGAACGTGGCAATATCACAACTCTTTTTCTTTTTCTTTTTCAGTTAATATTTGCTTTACAAACCAGCCGATCGACATCAAGTCAATTGTCAATGTTGCCTTATCTTTGATGTCATGAAAGAATCGAAAATAGGCATACCTCCACAACCACAAGTTCTTTACAATGTGCCACAATCAGTGGCGGAGTCATTCCTAGGCTTGAAGTGGCCCTGACCCCCTTAAATTTTGATATTTCCTATATTATGTTATATATAACATATAGAATTTGTAATAAACAACTTAAAATTTAAGTTAAAATTCCCTCTAAAACAAATTACACATGGCTAAATTAGAAATATTTAGCTCTAAACATGTAACTATTGAATATATAGGTGTTTTATATACTCATATTTTTTACTTCGGCTCCCTAACTTTACAATTCTAGCTCTGCTCCTAACTACAATCAACCCCAAAGAGCCTATGACAAATCCCAAATGAAAATATTCCCTGCTGACATAGAACCACAACTTAGTTGAAAGAGGGATCATCGAGCAGACAAGTGCAAGTGAGACTAGAAGGTTAAAGAGAAACACTTCGAGGCGATTGTGTTAGATATCAAGGGTTTCCTTTCCAGCAAGTTTCCAATCTTTGAAGGAATGTTTCCACTTAATAGATTTCTTCTTGACAAGTTCAGGATACTCAATGCACCAAAGGGATAAAGTTGAGGTTCTGCCCCAAAACCAATTGGCAATGGGGGGAGTAGCTCAACTCTTTATAAACTCAGGCTAGTTCTCTTAACTTTTCAATGTGGGACAAATACTTTCAACACGGTACGGTTGTTGCATAATCCCTTCCCACTGGCAGCAATCATGACCCACCCAAGAAGAAAGCCTACCAAACAGAACCTTAAGATCTTGTTTAAACCTCACAAGTGCTTGCCTTTCTTCCTCAATGCATATTGGTTTCACACTAGAGCTTGCTAGTCCCATTTTTTTGGTTGGTTTCCTGCATGGTTTACATTTGGTGCATGAAACCTGACATGGCAGAATGAAATCCAAAATTCCACAGTATCCCTTATCTTTCTGTAATATCCTGAATTTTCTTCTCTCCTCGACAGGGCCCTTATCTTTCAGTGTTTTCTTTAAGTCTCTTGATGATGATGATTTATGGTTTGGATAAATTGATTTTACCATTGTCATCAATGCTGCTACTATTATGGCTACACTTAATTTTATTTATGCTACTTCTACACAAATTGGTTTCTAGTTTTATTTTTTAGTTTTGCAGGCGCCACTATACTCAAATTCTATACATATGCACATATATTATCATCATATTTATACTTCTTTTAATTTATTGTATAGAAAGTAAATGATATATTTTATATATTATATATTTTTCTTACCCCCAAAAAGAAGAGTGCTCCATCTCATCCCATTCTGCATCAAAACCAGATAGCGTATACTTATACGTGTACCGAAGATTCATCATCTCGACATGACCTGTTTTGTTGTTGCATGAAATTCCTTTCCGTTCACAGCAATGTTGACCTGCCCAAGAAGAAAGCCTGCCAGATCGATCAGTAAGATCTTCTTGTTTAAGGGCGAGAAGTGGTTGTCTCTCTTCGTCCATGCATGGCTTCAATCTTGGAAAGTGCATCACCAAAACAGAGTTTACTAGTGTGCAGATATGAAGAGGCCAAAAAGAAAGGGAGGAAATAGTGAGCAATGTTGAGGCGAAACTTAGAATTGAATGAGTTTGCAAAGCTCTACATTTTCATATAAAATTTTCTTTGCTTTGGTGCAGATGGTAACTGAGCAATGAAGGAAGTTGAGGTTTCAACCCAAAACCAATTGGCAATGGGGGAAGTAGCCCAACTCCTTATAAGCCCTTACTAGGTTTCTTAACTTTTCAATGTGGGACAAATACTCTCAACACGCCTCCACATGTGTGGTGAACTTTCAAGCCTAACATGTGGACAACATATATTGGGTGACGTGGAGCACGTGTGGCCATTGGGCTTTCACACGTGGGCTAATCAACTCTGATACCATGAAGGAAGTTGAGACCCCAAAACCAATTGGCAATGGGGGGAGTAGCCCAACTCCTTATAAGCCCTTGCTAGGTTTCTTAACGTTCCAATGTGGGACTCTTATTATATGGGACTTTTAGTGAGAAACATGCAGGGGTGTGTGAGAATGTGAAGGTAAAAGGTTCCATATTGGAAAGGAATTGGTTGCACATGTGGCTTACTAAAAGTGGTCCCACGTAAGGAGGAGTGTTGAAGAATACACGAGTCTCATATCCAAAAACTTAACAAAATAGAAAGTCTCATATAATAAATGATTCCACTCCTAATAACATCGAGGGCTTTTGTATAAAACCTCACACCTGCTAAACAAGTGGTTAAGTGGGGACAATATCGATGTTGGTAACGGTGGGCCAAGGGTCCGTCCTTCTGAAATCTTAACATAGTATAAGAGATCTTAACATGGTATAAGAACGGGTCGATTGACTGGGCCGGATTAAACCCAAATCAAACAAAAACCCCAAATTGAATCAAAATCAAACAAACCCCAAATTTAAAAATTTTTAAAAATTATAAATAAATAAAAAAGAAAAAGAAAAAAAGTGACCGATGTGGAATTGGTTGCACGTGTGGCTCACTAAAAGTGGTCCCACATAAGGAGGAGTGTTGAAGAATACACGAGTCTCATATCGGAAACTTAACAAAATAGAAAATCTCATATAATAAATGGTTCCACTCCTAATAACATCGAGACCTTTTGTATAAAACCCCACACCTGCTAAACAGGTGGTTAAGTGGGGACAATATCAATGTTGTTAGTGGCGGGTCAAAAGTCTGTCCCTCTGAAATCTTAACAAGTAGAACCATTAAATCATTGCCATCCAAATTCCAAGTACTCAACCCATTTTACAAGCTCACTAGATTGGCAAGTAGGCATAAACAAGACGAACAAAACCGTGTGAGGTTCACCAAGACTGATAGTCTTGGTAAATGGCAATTGTTAATAGTTAATCGTAATTTGGGCGAGGACTAGGAAAATAAGATCAATTTCGCGTGTCCCTTTGCGTGCTTTCTCATCAATCACATATTCTAGGTGGAAAATCTCTGAACATATCTAAAAGAGAGGAAAAAAGAAAGAGGAGGGGGGGCGGTGTGATAGCATGCAAGTACATAGCAAATTACATGATAGTGATAGATAGAACAAATACATTGTTTATGAACTTGCTGTTGGAAATTTAATATTAATTAATATTAATTTTCCTATTTGAATGGAAATTAATAGAGTTCATTCAACCATGGTGTCCTTTGTCAATTTCTAGGAAGAGGTATCAAAGTACCTGTTTATTCAATGGATGCATGAGTTGGTTTTTATTTTGGGACATACCCTTTTGGAAAGGGTTCTTTAGTATCTATAAATAGAGTAGTCTTCCTGAAATTAATAAGGTAATTGATTCAATCAATGTTTATCCATTTGAATATAGAGAGTCTTTGTATAGTCAATGATTATGGTCTGTGAGAGGGTTTCCTACATAATCTAGTTCAAAGAGTACTTGTGAATTGTAGTGCTTCTTTCACAAGGACATGAGTCGTTGTATTCTGGGAGGCGAGCGCTAGTAACCATAAGCACCTGTGTGGAGCATAATTCGTCTTCAGGTCAGAGTGTCCAACACTTGCCTTGACTCAATTATTCAAGTTCTTCTAATTCATATGATGTGATTTTTCATTATGTATGTTTGTAAGCATGCATTAATTTTTTATGCACGAATTGAATGATTATTTCTGTGTAAAATATAGCAATTATACCCATTTTTTCCAAGACTCGCTACTTAGTTGATGTCAATAACAACTGCAAGATTTCCTTCGTAAACCACCACACAAGATTTTGGCACTGTTTACTTTTTTTGGGGTGACTTTTAGTACTCTCTGGTCATGTTTTTTCGTGTCTAAAGCCTACGATAAAAATCGAATACCATGCTGACACACAAAACAATCACAAGTTATCATTTCCATCTTCACTGTTATCGTTCTTTGCATCATTAGCAGTGTAAGTGTCTCTAACAGTGGAATGACCATAAACCCAACGTACTCATAATATCCAAACACTTGGAAAGTGCCATTCAAATTATTCTCAGAAAGGCACAACTCCTCCAATTTGAGAGGAAAGAAATATGGATATAAAATCCAGGGATCAGGGGCGAAGCATTACTGGATCGCGGTGGGCGTGGACCTTCAAACTGATTAAAAATTCACCAAAATTGAAAATCATTTAGCCATTTTTAATTATTCATTTCCATTTTATTTTTATTGACAGCATTACAAAGTTAAAAAATTGCATACATATAAATAAGCATAGCATATAAAAATAAGTTTAACCTTGGAAGTCGCGGCCATGAGGGAAGAACGTGAAAGGAGGAATATTTTTGACATATTCAACAACACGATATACATCACAAGATAAGTAGTTGAAGCATCTTTCAATTAATTAAAACTAACAAATTGTGTTAAGGTTGAATACGACATAACTTATGACTTGATTGTCTCTTTGATATAGCGGCTGGTTAATTTTAGGCCAAAATCCTTAGAAGAAAGGAAAAAAATAACCACACGCATAACATTTATTTCTAGATGAATTAAGGGGAGTACATTATACATTACCAAATAAGAGGAATTTCATACATACTCAAGCATCTTGATTTGAAGGACTACTTCTACATTTCTTTTCTAATCAAAGTTTCCTTTGCAAAGTAGCAACTTTCACTGCAATTGCTAGCGCTGCCTTATCCTTGATGTCATCAAACCATCGAAAATAAGCATACCTCCATGACTTCTTCATAATTAATGTGCCACAAACACCCCAAAAGCCTACGATAAAACCGAGTGCCATGCTGACGCAGAACCACAACTTATCATTTCCATCTCCATTGTCATTTGGATCCTTGGGGGTAGAAGTGTCTTTGGAGCAATTGGTTGAAAGAGGAAATCCACAAAGGAGTGGGTTGCCCTCATAAATGGATGGATAAGGGAGTGCTCGGAGTTGGTTGCCCAAAGGAATTTCACCACTCAAGTTGTTATAAGACAAGTTCAAGTTAGACAAGAAGGTCAGGGATGAAAGACCCTGAGGAATCCGTCCTGAAAGGTGGTTGAGTGAGAGATCAAGAATCTCGAGCTCCAACAAGTTTCCAATCTCTGTGGGAATGCTTCCACTTAATCGATTCATCGACAAGTTCAAGTTCAACAATAGAACGAGGCTGCATATTTCTCGAGGGATTTCACCTTCTAAACTATTTGATGAAAGATCAATGCTTTTTACAGACGCTAGAGAAGTGTTCAATTGGAGTGCTCTTCCTTTCATTATTGTCGTTTGTTGATCATACTCAAAATATATATTATACATACTATAATTAAATATTATGAGACCAGTGAGATTGTTCAAACACTTGGGAATAGTCCCGGAAAAGCTGTTGTGAGCAAGGTCTAGGATGTGAAGGTAGGCAAGATTGCACAACTGTTGTGGGATATGTCCAACAAAAAAATTGGATCTCAGCCTTAGGGTTGACACCAAGAAAGCAGTTGATCCTATCCATGGAGGTATTTTACCAGTGAATCTATTATCCCCAAGATCAATGTTCCTCAAAGAAGTGCAGGTTTGCAAGGAAAAAGGAATTTCTCCCTCGAAATTGTTGTTGTTCATCTTCAACATGAAAAGAGAACCTGAGGCACCCATTGAACTGGGAAGATTGCCTGAGAGATTGTTGTATGCAACATCTACAATCATTATATGAGGCAACAGGCTCCATGCTTGTGGGAATTCTCCTGATAGCTTGTTGTTTCTCAGAGAAAGGACTAACAAGTTTTTCATGTTGCAAATGGAAGTTGGAATAGTGCCATTCAAATGATTTTCAGCAAGATACAATGATTCCAATTTTGGAAACCTTTGGTCCAAATTCAATGGGATTGGGCCAGAAAATGAATTGGTTTCAAGCTTAAACCGAACCACACTGTCACCAGACCAAAGTGGAATTGGCCCATCAAATTGGTTATGACTCAAATCCAAAAGCACGGCATTTGGGAATTTCATTTGCGATGGAAGCTTTCCATGGATTTGGTTGTAAGACAAATCCAAATACTCAACTTGGGAGGATATTTTCATGAACCAATCCTCTGGTATGGAATCTGAGATTCCAGTGGCACGAAGTTTGACAAAGACGAGTTCAGTTTGAGATTGAAGCCATGCCCCAAAGGCAGGACCTACTTGACAGTTTCCAATGTTGATTGTGTGAAGCATGAAAGGAGGAACCCAATTGTAAGACACCTTGAAAATGAGAGGAATAGGTAGAGTAGGGTGTGGATCCACTCTACCCAATGCAATGTGTTCTAATCTTGTGAGATTTATGAAATGTGCTTCAGTTAAAAACCCTTCCCATGGATTAAAAGATAGATCTAAGTGAACTAGCTCAGAGAGTTGCCCCACACTTTCAGGAATAGACCCACTCATATCATTATTGTAGAGGTTAAGATACTTCAAATTGTGTAGCATCCCTACAGAGGCAGGCAATTGGCTTTTCAGCTTATTAGAAGACAAATCTAGTGACCCTAGTTCACTATTGGGACAACTTGATAAACCCCCCAA